GGTCTTCCTCTCTGTCTTTCCTCCTCTCTGTATATCTGACTTTGCAATTAAAATAAATAAATCTTAAAAAAAAAGATTAACAACCAGAAAATTGATGATGGGTCAACTTACTGACATGAATTCCTCAGAAGGTCTCCAGTCTCTGAAAAACTAAAAGAATATTCTCAACCATTCCAAAACACTGCAACACCAAGCCAGGCTAGACTCTCCTCAACCTCTGTACACATACTCTGAGAGTGGCTTCTCTATAACTCAAATTCATGGAGCTATCTGGAGAGAAAGAGAACCTCTTAAAAATGACAGTAAAAATTAAACATGGCTCAGAGAGTCTTAAGCTGCTGAAAACCGTACTTGACTCCAAGGAAATATCTATGCTCTACTCTAGGTCATTGAAGCAAAAGATCAGAGGCCATAAACTAACAGATGCAAGAAAGTGTTTCCAATTGCTATTAAACTGATCTCTGTCTTTCTAAACTTTGGCTGCACTGTATCAAGAGACCAAGAAATCTGATACAATCACTGCCAATAGCCTTTTCGTATGTAATGACAGCTGGGAAAGCCAAACTGGAGCACAGTCCTTTATTTTTTTAATGTTTATTTTTATTTACTTCAAATAAAGGGTCTCTCTTCACATGCACACATGAAAGAGAGAGAGAGAGAGAAAAAGCTTTCCACTTGCAGATTTACTCTTCAAATCCCTAAAGCAGGGCACGGCGGCATGGCCTAGCAACTAAAGTCCTCGCCTTGAACGCCCAGAATCTCATATAGGTTGCCGGTTCTAATTCTGGCAGCTCCACTTCCCATCCAGCTCCCTGCTTGTGGCCTGGGAAAGCAGTTGAGGACGGCCCAAAGCCTTGGGACCCTGCACCCATGTGGGATACCTGGAAGAAGTTCCTGGAACCTGGCTTCGGATAGGCATAACACTGGCCATTGCGCTCACTTGGGGAGTGAATCATGGGGGGGAAGATCTTCCTCTCTGTCTCTCCTCCTCTCTGTATATCTGACTTTGCAATAAGAATAAATAAATAAATCTTTAAAAACAAAACAAACAAAACAAAAAAACAACCAAATCCCTAAAGCAGCCAGAGTGGGGCCAGATCAGAGCCAGGAGCCTGAAGCTCCATCTATATCTCCAATGTGGGTTCAGGAATTCAGCAAATGAGTCATTCTTTTCTTTTCTTTTCTTTTTTTAAGATTTATTTATTTTTATTGCAAAATCAGATATACAGAGAGGAGGAAGGAGAGAGGAAGATCCCCTGTCCGATGATTCACCCCCCAAGTGACTGCAATGGCTGGTGCTGCACCATCTGAAGCCAGGAGCCAGGAACCTCTTGTAAGTCTTCCACGCAGGTGCAGAGTCCTAAGGCATTGGGCTGTTCTTGACTGCCTTCTCAGGCCACAGTATGGAGCTGGATGGGAAGTGGAGCTGCCAGGACCAGAACCAGTGCCCATATGGGATCCTGGCATGCTCAACGTGAGGACTTAAGCCGCTAGGCCACAGTGCTGGGTTCCCAAGTCATTATTTTCTGCTTCTCAGGACGCATGGGCAGGAGGTTGGGTCAGAAGCAGAGTTGCCAACACTCTGACACGGAGTATGGCCACTGTGCCACCACACCCCTCCTCCTGAGCCCCTTTATCGTTCCTTTCCATTGCACATCCAGAACCAGAATGGAACTTGAAACAGAATTTTTTAAAAATTATTTTTATTTTCATTGGAAAGCCAGATATATAAAGAGCAAAATCTTCCTTCCAATAATTCATTCCCCAAGTGGCCACAACGGCCGGAACTGCCCCAATCCAAAGACAGGATCCAGGATTCTCTTCCAGGTCTCCCACGTGGGTGCAGGGTTCCAAGGCTTTGGGCCATCCTCAACTGCTTTCCCAGGCTACAAGAAGGGATCTGGATGGGAAGCGCGGCCCCAGGGATTAGAATCAGAGCCCATATGGGATCCCGGAGTGTGCAAGGCAAGGACATTAGATATTAGGTTATTGCACTGGGCCCCAAAATAGTTTCCTTAGGAGATGGTTTTTAGATAGACTTAGGGGAGGTTGTATTTTAGCCGACACATTGGCTTTTTCTATCAGTACTAGTAGCGCTATCAAAAGAACAAAAAGCTTTCTAATAAAAACTGTCAGCCTCATCTTACAAAATATATACAAGATTGACTAGAGCCACTCCTTCTTTCTTGGGCCTTGGAGAGGCCACTCTTTTCTCTTTTTGTTCTTTGAGTGAGCCTCTATATTTCATTGCTTTGGTCTGTATGTGGACAAAACAAATAAAATCCCTAAAAACTGGAGCCGGTGCCATGACATAGCAAACTCAGTCTTCACATGGAATACTGACATCCCATATGAGCACTGGTTCAAGTCCTGGGTGCTCCACTTTCACCCCACCTCCCTGATCATGGCCTGGAAAAGCAGTGAAGGATGGCTGAAAGCCTGAGCCCTTACCCCCACAGAGGGGGCTCAGAGCTCCTGGCTTCAGCAGTTGCAGCACTAACCGCTGAGGCCATGTGAGGAGCGAACCAGCAATGGAAGATCTCTCTTCCTTGTTTCTTCTTTCTCTGCATCTGCCTTTCAAATAAAAATAAATCTTTAAAAACTACAGATGGTTTTTGTTCAGGAATATAGACAATTAGGGTTTATTCCTGGGGATCTGCCAGGCCTTTTAATAAATCCAATTCTCACAGACAGCAGCTACCAACAACAACAAAAAAATCTTCAACCCAGCCTCGGGTCTCTCAAAAATGTGTGGAGTCAAGTGAAAATAGAAGAGGGATTTTTCTAACTCCTGTAATGAGAGCTGGAAGAATCCTTCCTTCTTGGTAATCAGACAAAAGAGTTAACAGCTCACAGAAATGTTCTTTCTGGCCTAGGGAGAGGAGACAGGTAGTTTGTTTGACCTGAAATCTTGTTGAAACCATTCAGGGCCACAGCTAGGACAACTGAGCATGCGCACATGTCCAAAATCGACTAAGTCTTCCCCCAGTTTTCATGACAAGGTCCATGAGGATGTCAGCACAGTTAGCATAATACGCAATGCATGTCCAAGCATGTATCTAAACTCTGTCTGTGCCTGCTCTTTTTTTAAAAAAATTTTTTAATTATTATTTTTATTGGAAAGTCAGATATACAGAGAGGAGGAGAGACAGAGAGGAAGTTCTTCCTTCTGATGATTCACTCCCCAAGTGAGCGCAATGGCCAGTGCTATGCTGATCTGAAGCCAGGAGCCTCTTCCAGGTCTCCCACGCGGGTGCAGGGTCCCAAAGCCTTGGGCCTTCCTCGACTGCTTTCCCAGGCCACAGGCAGGGAGCTGGATGGGAAGCGAGGCCACTGGGATTAGAACTGGCGCCCATATGAGATCCCAGGGCGTGCAAGGCGAGGACATTAACCACTGCGCCACTGCGCCGGGCCCTGTGCCTGCTCTTGCATGCTCTAAGGTGGCCCACACTTCCTTGCGTGTCAGAGACATTTTTCTGTGGTCTCCTTAAAAGACAATGTGTGACTTTGTATGACAATGACTTCTGTAGGGGTTTGGAGCAGTGGGCCCACAACTTCGGTGGGTAACAAGACTTTCCCTTTTTCTGTTGAATTATAATTGTCGCTGGGAGCATGACGCTGCCTCAACTGCCAGTGCAGCTGTGTGTGGCCATGTGGCCTAGATTGTTTCTGATACGGTAGGATCAGAAGAGCTAGGTGCCACTTCTGAGCCTAGTGACTTAAATATTTATTTATTTTTAATGTAAAAGCAGATTTACAGAGAAAAGGAGATACAAAGAGAAGGTCTTCCATCCCCTGGTTCACTCTCCCAAATGGCTGCAAGAGTAGAGCTGAGCTGATCCAATACCAGCAGCCAGGATTTCCTCCAGGTTTCCCACATGGGTGCAGTGTCCCAAAGACTTGGACCATCCTTCACTGTTCTCCCAGGTCATAAGCAGATAGCTGGATCAAAAGTTAAGCGGTCATTACTAATTAACTATGTAAAAATCACTTATTTAAAACCTTTTAAAAATTACTAAGTTTTATTTATTTGGAAGACAGATTTACAGTGAAAGAAGATGAGACAGAAAGATCTTTCATCTACTAGTTTACTCCCCAAATGGTCATAATGGCTGGGGCTGGGCCAGGCTGAGGCCAGGAGGCTGGAATTCCATTGGGTTTCCCACAAGTGAGCAGGGGCCCAAGCACTTGGACTGCCTTCTGCTGATTTCTGAGGTGTGTTAACAGGAAACAGGGTTGAAAGTGGAGCAGCCAGGGCTTGAAATAGTGCCCAAATGGGATGTCAGCTTTGTGAGTAGTAGCTTTACCTTCTATACCCAAACAAAAACACATTTTTCTTTATCTGCCCAACTCTGCAAAGGAGGAAGGCTGGCATCTCCTAGTGTTAGACGATGTGTGGGAAATATGAAAGCAAGGGACGAGAATGTGGCACAACATCAATTACTGAAAAGTTTTCAAGAAGTAGAAAAGCCAAAGAGACTCATATGTGACATTTAATTTAATATAAAACATTCCAGCTACAGAGCACTTTACCAAAGCCCTCATGTCCTCATAGGCAACTTTCATAACTGACAAGAAACAGAAACCCCCAATTGCAGCAAAACGAAACTTCAGCTATTCAGGGTGGATGGTGAGGACAGCGGTTGGGAGGTTGCTTGAGACAGCTGCATGTTCCCTTACACTGCCTGGATTCCAGGCCTAGCTCTGTTTCTGCTTCCAGCTTCCTGCTAATGCACACCTGGGGCACAGCAGGTGACTGCTTGGGCATGCATGGCCCTGACACCCAGCCGGGAGACCCACATTGAGTTTATTGCTGACTTTGTTCTGGCTCAGCCTAAGCAGTAGTAAAGTGTAGGGCTTAATTTGTCTGACTGTCTCTCTTTCAAAAGGTAAAATGAATTAAAAATATTTTAAAAGCTTTTAAAAGATACAATAATAATGGGGAAATGATGAAATTAAGAGGGTTTAAAGAGTAAATTATGAAACTCTTTTTTTTTCTCCAGGGGAGAGTGCGAACACAGTACCCCACTACCACAGATTATGCAGTCGAGTTTCCCACAATTGGGGAAATTGCTGGGGTCAGCACACCCGGAGTGCAATGGGTGAGCCTTGCCCTCGGAAAACCACCTTCGTGATCATGGTATTTCCCCTGGCAGGTAAGTATAGATTATAAAAATCTTAAAATTTTTGGCATCAAAATAAACTTATCGTTAAGGAAAAAAAAAAAGTTAAAAAGTCATGACATGAACAGTGTCCATATGAGATGCTGGTGTCACAGGGTGGAGGATTAGCCTGTTGAGCCACAGCAAACCCAGTGACTTAAGAGCAGAGCACAGTCCTACACTCTCAGGAAGGTGTGCCCAGGACCGAGTTTCTCTTTGTTTTTCTTTCTATCTCTCCCTTAAAAAAAGTATTTACTTATCTGAAGGTCCTAGATACACAAAATATGGAGAGAGATCTTATATCTGTTGGTTCACTTCCCAAATGGTTGCAACAGTCAGCCAGGGCTGGGCCAGACAACAGCCAGAAACCTTGATCTCCTGGATTTCTCACATGGGCAGCAGGGACCCATGCACTTTGGTCATTTTCTGTTGCTTTCCCAGGAAAGCAGGAAGTTGAATTAGAAAGGGAGCAGCTGCTCATATGGGATTCTGGCACCCTAGGCAGTGGCTTGGCACACTGTGCTCCCACACCAGCTCCCAGGCTATGTTTAAGTTGATAATTTTGTGTGGCTCAGCAATGTTATAAATACCTAATTGACATCCCTGTTCTAAATGTTTCACAACTTCTTAATAGTGCCACTTTAAAAAAAATTATTTTTTTTTATTGGAAAGGCAGATATACAGAGAGGAAGAGAGAAAGATCTTCCATCCACTGGTTCACTCCCCAAGTGGCTGCAAAGGCCAGTGCTGAGCTGATCTGAAGCCAGGATCCAGGAGCTAGGAGCTTCTTCCAGGTCTTCATGCAGGTGCAGGACCCCAAGGCTTTGGGCCATCCTCGACTGCTTTCCCAGGCCACAAACCAGGAGCTGGATGGGAAGCAGGGCTGCTGGGACATGAACCAGCACCCATATGGGATCCCAGCCATACAAGGTGAGGACTTTAGCCACTAGGCTATCACACCTGGCACTAATAGTGCCACTTTATTAACCAATCCTTTGACTCATGGGGGGACACCTACAGTGATAAAAACAAAACAAAACAAAACCCTTGGCAGTCATAGAAATTTGGTCTTCAATATTTAGACTCAGACAGTGTATCATCTATAACTTTATCTGAGGAAAATAATAGAAAAAAATCTTTCAAGAAGAGGAAAATGAAAGGAAGAAAAAGAATGATGAATATTTAATACTTTCCATGGTCAAATCTATAGATAATACAACATTATAATTCAAAATTTACTGTGAAAAAATAAAGCAAAATTGCTTGCAGCAGCACATGTACACTGAACAAAAAATTACCAAGAACATCAAAGTGTGTATTTTTAGTAGTACAACAAACCATCCCAAAACATAACGGTTTAAAACAATAATTTAATTTGTTAATTCTCATGTGCCTGTGATTGGCCAGGCTCAGCCAGGAAGTCCGCTTGTCAATGATAGCTATTAGAGTCATGTCTGGAACATTCAAGGCAGCATCATTCACACGTCTGGGACCTTGGCCACATCATTCTGGGACTTTTCTCTCATTCTCCCCGTGGCCTCCCCAGCAGCTATTTTAAAGATAGAGTTATCTATTTCATTATCTTAATGGCAGAGTAGGAGAAGGGAGAAGAGAGAGAGAGGAATCCATTTCCATTCAATAGTCCCTCCCCAAAGGGTCACCGCAATCAAAGCTGGGCCAGGCTGAAGACAGGAGCCAAAACTGCATCTGAGTCTCCCACATGGATAACAAATAACTTGGGCCATTATCTCCTGATTGGCGAGGCACAGTAGCAGGAACTGCATCAGATTCAACACAGCCATGAGTCAAATCATTGTTGCTCGCATATAGTTGCTGGCGTTGCAAGTGGCGGCATCACCTCCTGTGTTACAACCCCAGCCTCTCACCAGCATTGGTTTACGTTGTGACTCCAAGAGAGAAAAGGCAGATGCTGCCAATGCTTATGGATGATCTAGTGTGCTTTCTCTGCACTGTGGGGAACAAGATGAGACACAGTCGAGCCCAGATTCCACTGGAAAAGAAACCGACAGTTTCTGTTGGAGAAAGAAAAGCATCAGGGACACCCAAAGGTGGGGGTGAGGGTGGAGATTGTTGGCAGTCTTCTTTGGCAACCTTCTCATCGTTCACCTTCTGCCTCTAATAATTCAGATGCCGCTGAACCAAAACACCTTCATCCACCAAGAATTTCAAACCATCATCATATTCCATCATAGTCCGGGATGTCATAGCCTACATCAGCCCCTAGAAAAAGAAGCTTCTCAGATGTGGTTTGGTTGTCTGTAACTGTCTTCAACCTAGATGACAATGAACTAAGCAGACAATGCACCTGCTCCTGCATTCCCAACACACTTGATGCTGCAGAGACAAAATGACTCGTGGGGCACAACAGGGAAGAACACGAGTGTTTTTACTGAGCATCAACCTGCAGTAGTTCTGAAATCTACCTGGGGGTCTATGATCAGATTCTCCACCTCTGAGGACAGAGAAAGCTCCGCAGCTGTTCTGCATCTGGGAATGTCTTCATAGTACTCTTCTTTCTTTCTTTCTTTCTTTCTTTCTTTCTTTCTTTCTTTCTTTCTTTCTTTCTTTCTTTCTTTCTTTCTTTCTTTCTTTCTTTCTCTCTCTCTCTCTCTGTCTCTCGCTCTCTTTCTTTCTCTTTCCTTCTCTCTTTCTCTCTTTGTTTTCAGTTTCTTGCTTCTGTTCTCTGGACTCTTAGCTTCATCCCTGAGAAAACTTCCATTCCAATAAGACAACTTGAGTATTTTTCTACTTCTTTTTGCCCAGAGAAAGCTGGGAGCACAGAGATCTTTGTCATTCCAAACTGTTATTGCTTATTATTACAGTGTTTGATATTTAAAAAAGATTCATTTATTTTTATTGGAAAGTCAGATACACAGAGAGGATGAGAGACAGAGAGGAAGATCTTCCATTGGCTGGTTTACTCATCACCAGAGCTGAGCCAATCCAAAGCCAGGAGGCAGGAGCTTCTTCCGGGTCTCTCACACAGGTTTAGAGTCCCAATGCTTTGGGCTGTCCTCAGCTGCTTTCCCAGATCACAGGCAGGGAACTGGATGGGAAGTGGGGCTGCAGAGATTAGAACCGATGTCTATATGGGATCCTAGTGCGTTCAAGGTGAGGACTTTAATGGCTAGGCCATCATCGCACAGGGTCCTGACAACCATTTTCTAGAGAGGAGAGCTGGGTTTGAAAACCACAATCTCTGTCCTTTCTGTAATTCTTTCAAATCCAAATAAATCTTTTTTTTTTTTTTTTTAAAGAGGGCTCCAATAAGAAATGGCTCAATCTCATTAGTAACATGAGAAATGCAAATTGAAAGCACCATGAACTAACATTACACCCTTGACAGAACGACTTACGTTAAAAGGATGTGTAGGAAGGCTGTTGTCCACTGAAAATCCTTCTGTATGGCTGGTGGGAATAAACCAAAGACTCCTCTCCAACATTTCCCTTACTATATGATTTTACATTTGTGAGCACAAAAAAAAAACAATTTCACCATTAGGTGTAAACACAAAAGTGTTTGATGCGAATGGTTAAAATATATTCACAGAGGCAGTAGTCTTCATAGCCACAAATTGGAAGTAACTTAAATGGCCGTCAGGAAATGACATTTGTGGCCTGTTCACAAAATGGAATGCCGCCAAAATTAAAACACCCATCCACCCTCTCCCGTCTCTGGGTAAGTCTGTGACTTCTTCATCCAATACTTTTAAGGGCAGAAATGAGGTTAATTGGTTGGATGTTCACCCATGGTTCAGCAAGCACTCGGCTTAGTGAAACTCACCGACTATTTCAGTGCTCCCTCAGTAAGCGGCCTTTCTGGAAAAGAAGATTCAAGAATGCAGTAGAGAACTCGTGGCTGCCTGAAGCCCTGGACATTCACCCCTCCAAAACCCCTGTTTCCAGCTTGTCCCAATTGAGTCTCGGCCTCTTTAAGAAGTCAACCATAACTGAAGCTAGGGGCATGCCGGGAACGTCCACTCAGATCAATTCTGGGGCCTGATGGGAAAAAAGGGGGCGGGGACCTGGGCGGCGCAGGCGCAGCTGCAGGATAGGGCTCCTAGAATCCCCGGGAGGTATCCTCCTGGTCGGCGTCCGCCACGGACAGCTGAGGCGCGTGACCTCGGCCTGCGGGCCGGCCCGTGGGCGCTCGTGGCGCGGGAGGGAAGAGCAGGTGGGAGCGGCCGTGGCGAGGGGTCGTGGCCCGGGACGGGCGCGCGCGCGGCGAGCGCTGTGGGGTCGCGGGTCCCGCCGCCGGCACGCGCTGACAGGCGCCACGCGTGGGAAGAACCCTCGGTGGAACGCTGGCGGCCCTCTGATGCGGGACGAGCGCCCCTGGTGGGGCTGCAGCTTGGGGCACGGGGCCAGAAAGTTCTCTCCGGAGCCCTGGGAACGTGGGGGCTTCTAGAAGGCTTGCGAGCCTGACTGGACCGTCCGGCTCGGAGAGAGAGCGTCCTTGGGGTCCGCCCTCCCGGAGTGGCGCTTCCCCGAAGGCGAGGCTCGCCTGACGCCCCGTGGTGGCCCTGGCAGCGAGGGTTGGGGTGGCATCCCGGTCACTGACCTGGCCCCGCGGCCGCTAAAGGCTGAGTCATAGGGGAGGGTAGAGGCAGGCTGGTGCGCGCCCCCCTGGGAGAGGCAGAGCCACCGTGGGCTTTGCGCGTGAAAACGAGGTGCTTGGTCACCTGCTCTGCTGTGTGGGGTGGACGGCCCTGACGAGGACGGGGCTCTGTGGATGCTTCGCTCACTGCATCTGTTTCTGGTGTATGATGGGGACCCCACAGTCCAGGTCCACGGGGTTGGGAAACAGGTGCTTTTTTTCTCATGCTCGACCGTCCCCCCCCCCCGCCCCCCCAAGCCTTGTGCAACGGGAAGGGGATCAACCCCGAACCTAAATCTGCTCTGTCGTGTTGTAGGAGTCCCCGAGTGTCGGGTTAGAGTTTTTTTGGCTAGCGGATGCCTTGACGGAAAAGGTTAGGATGAA